GGCATGGACCAACAGATGCCAGTCTCTGGGATGTATCGAATGTTCTTCTTTACGACAAGGTTCCTATAATAACTGGACAGGATTTGCAGGTCAATGACTTGTGAGATGATGTTACCAACCAAGTGAGTTAATTTGCTAAGATAGATGCCCTTGCGGTGTTCCACTTGTCCCTGGATTTCTAATCGCCTCTATTCTAATATCTCCATGACTCAGCATGGGCAAAGCAAAAGCTTGTACCTGGGACTTCAGATCCTTCCAGAAGATTTCAGGAGATCACAGAAGCATTACAAAGCGTTGAGAGAGATCCAAGATGGCTGATCACTAGCAGCTCGGGATTGTAGCTCCCACTGAAAGAGCAGAGAACGAGAGGACACCGCACTTTCAGATCAATTTTTGTTGCCCATGCACCAGGAGATTCCCAGCGGAGGAGCCCCACTTCTTGCCAGCAGACTCTTGAGGCCGGTGAGGCAGTTTTGTTGCTGCCTTGGTGCAGCGGTTCTCAGTGCAGAGTCAGAAAAGCACCATCAATCTTAAAGTTGCTGTTTTGGCTGGCGCAGTGGGTAGCTCAGATTTTAGCGCCGGGAATCAACAAGTTGGATGTCCATTCAGAAACCCAACTATAAAGACGGTAATTATAAAGACCACAGATGGATAAATTTATAACGAAGGGAAGAAACCAGGCTAAAAAGGCTGAGAATACCCAAACTCAGAACGCCTCTCTACAGGGGATCACAGTTCCTCATCAGCAACACAACAAGACCTGATGGAGAAAGACTGTGTTCCATTAGCAGAAGCTGGCTTTAAAAAGTGGATGATAAGAAACTTCTGGGAATTAACAGAACTTGTTCCAACCCAATGCAAAGAAACTAAGAACTTTGAAAAAAGGTTTGACGAAATGTTAACAATAACACACAACTTAGAGAGGAATATAAATAAATTAATGGAGCTGAAAAACACAACACGAGAACTTAGCGAACTATGCACAAGTTTTAACAGCCGAATTGATCAAGCAGAAGAAAAGATATCACAGGTCGAAGACCAACTTAATGAAATAAAACAAAAAGACAAGATTAGAGAAAAAAAAATAAAAAAGAATGAGCAAAGTCTTCAAGAAATATGGGACTATGTGAAAAGACCTAATCTACGTTTGATAGGTGTACCTGAATGTCATGAAGAGAATCAATCCAAGCTGGAAAATATGCTTCAGGATATTATTCAGGAAAACTTTCCCAACCTAGCAAGGCAGGACAATATTCAACGCCAGGTCATACAGAGAACACCACAAAGATATTCCTCAAGAAGACCAACCTCAAGGCATATAATCACCAGATTTACCAGGGTTGAAATGAAAGAAAAAATACTAAGGGCAGCCAGAGAGAAAGGTCAGGTTACCCATAAAGGGAAGCCTATCAGACTCACAGCAGATCTCTCAGCAGAAACCCTACAAGACAGAAGAGAGTGGGGGCTAATATTCAACATCCTTAAAGAAAAGAACTTTCAACCCAGAATTTTACATCCAGCGAAACTAAGCTTCATAAGCGAAGGAAAAATAAAATCTTTTGTGAACAAGCAAGCACTCAGAGATTTCATCACCA